AAATGCTAGAGGCTGAGAGGAAAGATCTTATGAGTGACTCTACGTTATCGCCATTAGACATGAATGGAGATCAACAAAACCCTGCTCCCCTTGATATAACGACTAATAACATGGTAAGTATCATACGGCCATTATATATCGAACTTCCATTTTCCTTTATTAGAATGTTCAATGACATTACCGCGAAGATATTTTTCTTGATTATGCTCTTTTCTTTTATCCTTTATTTCGTTGTTATCTGGGTTATGCAGCCTGAAAACTCTTCATTTACATGAAATGACGCGTTTTTATCAACGCTTATGTGAAGTTACCCTGCACCTGTAAACCATGTGCTTTTAGAATAAGAATGCTCTTTTAATAGATGAATAAGAATATAAACTAACATACGTATTTATACGTGGTTGGGCTAATAACATTCCTACATTAACTTGCAAGGAGAGTGAATCCGTCATCCGAACGAGAAAGTACTCTTTAATTAAACCAATTATAACAGAAACAACATGTTTTTGTGAGGGAAGGAAATTCTCTTTGTATGTAACTACTGTAAATTATAGTGGACTTGGTCCCGTTGTATGTAGACACAGGCTTGTTATTTACCAAACCACGCTAATAATCGTCTTTGTTAACAATGTGCACAACAATCATTTATTTTATCTTGTTGAATTCTATTATCACTCAGTTTGAGAAATTGTTGTTACAGGTGAGAATAGATCATGTTGCAGCAGCTTTATCAAGGACCTACAAATCGTCAGTCGTCGACACTATTCAATCTCTGCCCCAACATCAGCAGGTGAGATTTACACGCAACATATCCTCGTCACATAACATGTTATTTTAGTTGAACAATTTGATGCTCAGATAATTTCGATGTATTTCCATTCTTATTTATAATTTCACCAGTTGACATGAATTAGGCTCGTCGGCAAGTCATTTTATGAATGTACTCTTTTTATTTCAGATCATACTTTGTTCTGCTGTGAAGCTTTTCCGAGGGGGAAAGAAGGATACAACCATCGGCGAGGTATGTTTTGCAACCAATTTTAGAACAAATATGTCAACTTTCTGACATTGGGATTAATGAAGGGCGGCCCGCATTCTTCTATTTCTACAGTTGAACAAAAGTTACACGGATGTATGTAAATCGGCTTCAATCCCTCCAGTTGTTATCTCCGAACTGTTAAGTATGTGTCAGGTGCTAGATGACCAGGTAAAAAATAGAAATATTACATTATTATGCATTAATACTAAATATTATAATCCGATTTCCAACGAAAGATTGCACGAACCTTATCCGTGTGACATAAAATTGCAGGGAATTCTTAAACTAGGACAAGCACGAGATGATAAACTAAAAAGAGTAACGCTAAAGATAGATGGAGCAGACATTGTTTTTGCACTGCAGGTACGCAAAAATTACACGACAATCCATTTTTTGTGTACATCTTTCTTGAGGAAGGTAATAATAGATCATGATATATGTTGTAACAGGGAGTTCGTTTCTTCCGAAACTGTCTGGAATGATTTTCCGTAAGAAGAAGAATCATGATTCTTATCTGGTTAATTCTCCGCTACAAACCAAAGTAAGGAAATAAAAGTTAGTACAGTACATTAACTTAATTTGTCTCATTGTCTTACATATGTGAATTTGTATAGGTGAAAAGAGACCACATGGAATACTTACAATGTTCGAGTCTGTGGTCGACAAAACAGTCAATACTTCTCTCTTGTAGTCATCTCAATAGTAGAGCCGAGCCAGATGCTGTGGATAATCGGACAATAAGCTCTTGCAGGAGAATGAATATGTCAACTTTCTGGCAGTGGAATACAAAAAGAAAAGGCAAACTGTATAGTTTTTCTGTCTTTAAACGGGTTGCCATTTTTATAAACGATTATCCGACATTATAATTTGTTTAATTATTTGACATTTTGTACATTATAATTGATTGATAGTGTTATGAGTCATGACTCATGAGTTGGAAGCTTAAATACTTGTTGAAGTTGAAAATTGATGAACATTATATGGAAGTGGCAATACATCATCCCTATAAATATTGTTTTATGTTGTGAAATAATTCCCATTAGCTAATGTATATAGTGCAGTATATATATAGTTAAAATATATGTATATCTAATACACTATATAATATATAATATAAATATATGTGTAGAGAGAGAGTGTGTGCGTGTGAGTGTGTGGGTAGAGAGATAGTGTGTGATGAGAGAGAGAGAGAGAGAGAGAGTAGAGAGAGAAAGTAATTTTATTAATTGTGAATATTATTACACGGTAGTATAAGAATTGGGAGAACCAATTTTCATCTCTTTCTCTCCAAAGACTACATCTATTTATATATTACAAACATGCCTACTCATCTAGACACTTGGCAAAATTATAGGTAGTGTATTACTCAAATAGTGCCACATGCCCTTATAGGTGTCCAATTGCTAAATACCCATGTGCAAGTCCACAATATTATAACACTCCCCCTTGGACGTAGCACTATTGTATCGACTGAATTGATGCCTCATTAAAAACCTTAAGCCGGAAAACCCAGTGGGAAAAACCGATCAGAAGGGAAAAAGAGTGCATGATTCAAATTCAAGTCGTGTGCATAAGCTGCCTCGTTAAAAACCTTAGCTGGAAAAACCCAATGGGATGAAAACCAGTCGTAAGGGAAAAAAGAGTGCAGCGCACTATTGCTCCCCCTAAAATGAGCAATATAAGCCCCCCAATACGGGGCTGTCAATCAATTTGTAGGTTGTCTCATTAAAAACCTTGAGCTGGAAAACCCTATGGGAAAAAACCAGTCAAAAGGGAAAAAGAGTACAACACATCATAGCATTATGTGCTCTCCCTGAAACAAATAATATAGGCCTCCGAAATAGGCTATTTAATAATCATAAGTTGCCTCGTTAAAAACCTTATGTCGGAAAAACCACATGGGAAAAAGAGTGCAACATATTATCACTTCGTCTTTGCAATATCAAAATTCAGTGAACCATAAAGATAACATTAGAATGTCTGTTAGACGTATGTCCATTCCCTCGTGGACAACCCTAGGAAACGAAAAAATGATGTACCGGTAAATACATTTAAATATAATCATTCCCATATACTCGGTAGAATCAATATTTTACAAGGCACACATTATAATGAACAATTTTGTTGTTATTATTCCTCTAACGAACAAACAAAACCCCATTTATATCTAGGGAATTTATATTGTTCGGAGTTGGTACCATTAATCCGTATTTATTTCGTTTCTCTGGGAAAGCCAATTCCGATTTAATCGCTTTCTCGCATTTAGGCCAAACTTGACTCTACCGACATTCTATTGTTTTGAACGTGATTCACTGGATTAATCATCCCGAAATTTTATAATTGTAATTGCCCTTAGTCGAGAGATTAATCTCTACATATTTATCCGGAGCATGTTTATCATGACTCGTTCATTCAGTGGATTTAATTAATCCATATGATCGTAAGCATGTGCTACAAGGCATTGATATTTATCCAAAGTACTGCACAAATCTCATCAAAATTATTTTGATCGAGTTTTTCCGGCACTATCCATTCTCATATGCACGGGGTATAGTAACTTGTGCAGAAAACGTGCAAAATCATATTGCATGAATACAATAAACACACGCGAGACCATCTATAAGATGCGTCTGACAAAATTATAAATATTTAAGATATTGGTCCACTTGAAAGGTTGTATTGGTCCATAAGTATTATCAACCATTTCGCACTAAAGGTTATATAACGAGATTTCTATAAATTACAGAAATTCTCTTTGGACATACGGATCCTTATATCGTACGAATGTCCGTAGTATATTCTTTATTTCAAGCCACCATAATATTTTATGGGCGTCCCCATATTAATATGCCAAAACCTGAACATTTCAGGATTAACTAGTTTATATGGCATGGTGGTGTAGTAATTGAAAAACTCGAATTAGGACACAATACAATATACAAAAGCTAATGCTTTTAATATCATAAGCAGAAACATTATTTATTCCCGGAGCCATGATCTCTACGGAAAGTAATTTAGTTTTACTTCGTGCTTTGCGCAATATCACACTCAATAAAATTTAGAATATATTAAATTGTCAATTTGACTAATACATCGTCCGGGGAGATATTTAAACTCAACCTCGGGAATATATATATATATATTTCAGGGAAGATATGCAAACTTTACTTCATAAATATTTCATCTGAAGGAGAACTTTTAAAATTCGACCTCGTGAATATGTCACTCGAGTGAGATATGTAGATTATTATCTTAATTTCGGGAATCAGTCCGAGAAAGATATATAACTCAATTTCAAAGTTCGAAATTATAATATATAGACAATAGTCTATTATATTTGTTCACATGTACATCCATATTAAATAATATGTCAATAAAATGCTAACTCAATCTTGGGAATTTAACATCCAAGAGAGATATACAATTTCAACCTCGAGAATTTCTCGTTCGATGGTGTTTTGCAAACTGCATCCCGGGAATTTAACATCCGAGAGAGATATGTACATGTTACACAATTAGTAGACATAGTAAATTAACTTTGAAATATTACCAATATCATCAGGGTTGTATATAAGCTCGACCTTGGGAATATTTCTTTCAAGGGAGTATTACTAACTTAAACTCGAGAATAAATCTTCCGAGTTAGAGAGTCGCAAATTTTATTTGGGGAATATATGATTAAACTCGACCTCAGGAATGTATCGTCCGAGGAAGATATTATAAACTCGATCTCGGGCATATGTCGTCCGAGAGATATATAAATTTTATCTTAGAAATTAGCTCAATCTCGGGAATAAAATCATCCGAGAGAAGTATTTAAATTTTGACGTCATTTATATTTATCTCGAGAAAATATTATAGGCTCAACCTCGGGTATATATCGTCCGAGGGAGGTATGTTCATAATTAAATAAATTCAATCTCGAAAACCGTTACATCGAGAGAGTTATATCGTAACCATTAAGAATATTATCATGCATGATCTCAAATATATAACCTTTACTCATAGGCCAAAATATATTTGTAGGCAATAAACTCAGGAGTTTTAATTTATTTTGACCAGATGATTATCTCGGCAGAAATATCTACATCCACTCTAGTCAATTTAAAAACATCTTGACGAGAACTATCTTCCACATCGTCGTTGTAGGTCTAACCCATATTTAATTTTATAATGGCCTTTCAATCGACCCTTAACAAAAATGTCCATCGTTTATATAGGTACATCACCCAATTAATTTTATTTTAATAGCCTCATTGGCCTTTGAGGGGAATCACAACTTTTAGTGACTCTACGGGCATCACACCCGAAGTTATATTTCTGGCTTCTATATTGGCCATTATCGGGGACTACAACGTCCACCATCTCTACGAACATTATGTTCGGAGTAATTATCATAGCCTTTAAATCGACTCTTAATTTGGACTCCTATGCGACGGAGTCATTTTCATTTCTTTATCTAAATCAGCCCATTTTCTTTTGCTAATTTAAACAAGATTATTAAATAAATAGATCGAAACTTGCACATGCCAATTACATGTTTCTAAATTTACAAAATCAAAATCATGTAATGCAAGTTGAAAATTCATAGCCTGGGTGAGAGATAATAACCTCTTTTTTTTCTCATAAATTAACATGCACATAATTATAGATATATATCCTTCATTTCCTCTGAAAATCGGTGGCGTATAAATACTGTAGTATTCGCTTCACCATTTGATATCGATGATCTGGATTTTATCAAATAAAATAACATAAAGTAAAATAAACAAACTTACATAACCTAGCCTTTTTTCGAGCAGAACCTCGTGCTGATAACGTGTTGTGAAATAATTCCCATTAGCTAATGTATATAGTGCAGTATATATATAGTTAAAATATATGTATATCTAATACACTATATAATATATAATATAAATATATGTGTAGAGAGAGAGTGTGTGCGTGTGAGTGTGTGGGTAGAGAGATAGTGTGTGATGAGAGAGAGAGAGAGAGAGAGAGTAGAGAGAGAAAGTAATTTTATTAATTGTGAATATTATTACACGGTAGTATAAGAATTGGGAGAACCAATTTTCATCTCTTTCTCTCCAAAGACTACATCTATTTATATATTACAAACATGCCTACTCATCTAGACACTTGGCAAAATTATAGGTAGTGTATTACTCAAATAGTGCC